CCTTTTGTCAGCAAGCTCATCTGGGACTCGACGGACTCGCTGTTGAGGAATTCGAAGCCATCCCCGCCCGGCGCTGCCGGCCCGGCCGGGTCTTCCTTGACCGCCTCCGCGTCCTCTGCCCGGTTGTCCTCTTGGGGCTCGGCTTGAGGGTAGTCCCCAATCACCCTCGTAGGTGTTCCCCTAACGCCTACAGCCGGGGAATTCCGTCCGCTCGTGGACGTTTCCCCGCCTCTTTCGCTCGAGCTCCCCGATCTGCTGGAGCTCGACCCCGACGTCCCCGACGAGCTTGATGACCTTTTTGGCTCGGGGGCTCGGTCGGGGATTTGCTGTGGTCGTTGCTCGACCTCTGGAGAGTAGGACATGATGTCCACCTTCTCGCTGATTTGCTCGACCGCGTCGTCGTAATCCGCAACCGAGACGTTCTGGCTATCCGACTCTGACATCTTTTCTACCTAAAGGTCGGTCGTGTTAGTATAGGGCTCGAGATGTTAGGTCGGAGTTAGTCCTATCCTACGCCTATGCAAAACTAAAAATAAAAGACAAAGCAGGGAAGTAGGAAGCTTACCGATCGTGAAGACTTAGATGGAGCTTGAGGATGTTTTGCTCGATTGATCTGCTGATGATTCACTCGGGACTCTTTGAGGGTACCGGTTGATGCAGAAGATTGGGGAAAGTTCAAATGAGGGCTTCAAGGGCCTATTTATAGGAGAGCGTTTGGGCGGGAAACCAATCCACTTGCGCGATGTGACCCGCACTGATTCCGAGGCGACTGTTGTAATCGCCGAGGCCGGCAGTCGCCGACACGTGGCAAGAGAAGGAATGACAGCTGGCCGGTCGGTTTGGTAGCCGACGGTTGGGCTTCTTCATCCCGTCCCGTTTTTTCCTGGACGGTCAAAAAGGCCCGGGCTGGGGGGCTCTTGGTAGGGAATATCCCGACCGACATAATTTTTCCCGGTTGGTGTGCCTTTGTTTTTGTCTTCTTGTTTTTGCAGGTAACAGGTCGGGCTTCTTGTGAAGAACCCGGTCGGGGTCCGACCGGGAGTTGCCCGAGCTGGAGTGTCGACCACCGAGTGGTAGCCCTTTGGCGAGAGAGCTGACAAGAGACACGTGGCGGCTCAACGCGTTGACAGGCAGGGCACCCGGGACGGCGACACGTGGTGGCTACGTGGGAAGCATGCCGAACGGCCGGATTTGTGTCTCCGGCGCCGCGGCTATAAATACCCGCGATAGCTACAGTGTGAGGGACCTTTTGGACGATCGATAGGTTGTTGTTAGAGAATCCCGACCGCAGCCAGTCGGTACTCAGAGCAACCAAGTTGATTGTACTTAGGGCTTTCATCGTGATCAATAAAAGACATTTACTTGCTTTAATTGGTCTCGTGTTTACTTAATTACTGCGTACGTGGCAATTAGCAGTATCAAATGTATATTTTTTTCCGCATTTATTCTAGTAGAAAAATGGCGGTCAAATTTTTTAATGGTCTTTCTTTGTTGGTTTAACAATCCAGGAATTGCAAGAACTGTTCCAAAAGGAATCAAACCCGAGTTATCCTGAAATTCTGCCCCACAAAGAAAACTCATTTGCCATTTGAGCTACCTTGTTAAGTTATTAATTTATCCATAATGAATATGATTATCCGTTAACTTTTTCGTTAAATATTATCTTTTCCGTTATTTATGTTAATTCACCGTTAACTTACTCATTGATTTCAATAAGAAAGTTCTTAGGCTCGAACCCCATCCCAATCAAAGTTGGCATAATTAGTACTCTATTTTACTCTTATTAAATTAAAAATTAAATAATAATTTAGTAGCTACAACAAAAAATAATAAATATGCATTTCTTTAATTTAGAATGATGTGTCAACAATGCCTTTATTCAAAAAAAAATTATTCATTATCAATAAATTAAATAAGATAAATAATTTTATTAGTTATATTGTATTTATTTTTCTCCAATATAAAAATTCTTTCCATTCAAATTCATCAATTGATTATATTCACTACATTGTCCCTATAATGTCTTTATTAAAAAAAAATTATTCATTATCAATGAATTAATTAAGAGAAATAATTTTATTAGTTATATTGTATTTATATTTCTCCAATGTTTTTTTTTAAGGTCAATCTTGCGATTGTATTAATGAATCAAAGCCGAAATAGCGTCAGGGGGGATAGCATCCCAGTACATAGCTTGATCCTGTGTAAAAGCTAACGAAGCTAAAGTATGCGCATGTAAATTAACCTGTCTAGAGATGTAATCCAAAGTAATACGATTAAATAAAGATATAAGTGTTCTGCATTGGTCAATTGTGACCCCAACGTACGAATGGATCGGCTTGTGTTGGTGCCGGATAATCGTAGTCAGTTCCATGCAATCCGTGAGTAAACTTACTGATGTGTTGTTCCGTTCAACTAACCAGGACAGTGCTTCCTTGTATGCCTGGGCCTCCGCCATAAGTGGTGAAAAACAAATCGGTAATTTGCCATTCCTTGCTGCCACAAAAGAGCCATCTGGCGCTATAATCAACATGCCGTACGTAGCCTCACCTGTGTCGTGTCGGTAACCCGCGTCCACATAACACCGTAGACCGCCCTCCCTTGGTTTGGTTAAATGCTCTGAAGCCGCTGCCGGCTCGGTATGGCTGGCCTGGGCAACGCCGTATGCCTGTAGCGCTACGGTTGCTGCTCTGGCTAACTGGACAGGCCGCGTCATTGATCCCTTCCAGACAACTGAATTCCGGGCTCTCCAGATATAATATAATATTGCTACCATCAACCGGGTCTGCTCCTCCGTCAAGACCGCCATAGCCCCTTTTAACCATGTTGTAAAAGAGTCTGCAATAATATTAGTGATAGGCAATTGTGTTATATTCCATACAAGTCTAGAATATTCACAGAGCACTAAAGCATGTAACACATCTTCATGATCTAAACCACACATTGGGCATGTTGGGTCCACCTCCACCCTTTTAAATATCAAGTTAATGGTTGTTGGCAAAATGTCACATATGGCTCTCCACAAGAAAGTTTTCCATTTGGGGGGACTTTTACTTTCCACATTGTAATCCATTTATTGAAAATCGCGGGATTATTTTCATAGTCACCCACAATACGCCTATAGGCATTCTTGACCGTATATGTCCCCTTTAGGTCACTCATCCAATACCATGAGTCTTCGTAATCAGGACTAATAGGGATCATATTTATTCGCTCCACATCCTCAGGAATAAACAAGTCAGATAAAATATGTGGATCCCAGGTATGAGTCTGTAAATCAATTAATCCTGCAACCCGTGCCTCCCTCAATTGTTCTGGCATTTCTGTTTGAATCAATGGGCTAGGATTATCTCGTAACCACGGATGACCCCATATTAAAGTTGTCTATCCATTCCCAATCCTCCTTCGCACCCCTGAGACTACCATTGCATGGGCTGCCATTATACTTCTCCAACAGTAACTTGGGCAATTGCCAATAGTTGCATCTGTAAAACTGGTTGTGGGATAATACCTTGCCTTATAGATTTTAGCTGCGAGTGTTCCTGGGTCCGTCAAAAAACGCCATGCCTGTTTTCCGAGCATAGCTAGATTAAAAGCCCTTAGCTGTTTAAAACCCATACCACCATACTTTTTTGGTATGCACAACCTGTCCCAAGCCTTCCAATGTATTCCCCTGTCTCTTCCATTCCCCCACCAATACTTATTCATAGTTCGCTCAATTGACTGACAAACAGTCTCAGGTAACAAAAAGACGCTCATTGAATAGGTAGGCATAGATTGCGCTACACTTTTCAACAATACTTCCTTACCAGCCTGAGAAAGTAACTTTTTACTCCACGAACCAATTCGTTGCCTGATCATCTCCTCCACATATGAAAAAACAGCTCTCTTATTTCTCCCTACAAAGGAAGGTAGGCCCAAATATTTCCCAAAATTGGGTGCTTGCACCACCCCTAGACAATCCGCTACCTGTGCCCTGTCATTCTCCTGGGTATTTCTGCTAAAACATATATTAGATTTATTATAATTCACCACCTGGCTTGACAATTTCTCATACCTTGCAAGGCACTGCCTTATAACTCCCGCCTCCTGGATATTTACTTTAAAAAATAGGAGACTATCATCCGCAAAAAAATAAGTGTGAAACAGGCGGTGCCCCCCTTGCTACTCTGCATCCATGTATAGAGCCTGCCAACTGTTCATACTGTAATATCATCGAGAGAGCCTCTGCACAAATAATAAATAGATACGGAGAGAGAGGGTCTCTCTGCCTGAGTCCCTTGGTTGGTTTTACACACCCCCTGCTATACCATTGACCATTACAGTATAACTAACAGTCGTTACACACAGCATAATGAGCTTTATCCACTTCTCACTAAAACCCATAACAGTCAGCATCCTTTCTAGAAAGTTCCACTCCATTCTGTCATAGGCCTTTGACATATCTAGCTTCAATGCACTCCAACCCACTACACCACACTGCTTTCTATTCAGATAATGCCCCACCTCTGCCGCTACCAAGATGTTGTCAGTGATTAGCCTTCCCGGGATAAAAGCACTCTGGGATTCTGATATTAATCCTCCCATTAGTGTTTTCATCCTATTTGCTATCATCTTGGCCATAACTCTGTAAATGACATTACTCAACGCAATCGGCCTTAAATCTGCAACTGTCTCAGGCATCTCTTTCTTAGGGATCAAAACAATGTTAGTATCATTTAATCCCTCGGGGAATACACAGGAATTCAACGCATTCGTTATAAAGCCAGATACATCTCCTCCCACTATCTCCCAAAACTGCTGGTAGAAACCCGGGTTTAACCCATCCGGACCCGGTGCCTTATCCGGATACATTGAAAAAAGAGCCTCTTTAACCTCATCAGTTTCAAAAGGGCGGTATAGCATCATACTCTGTTCTAACGTGACTCGTGGGGTTAGGACACCAAATAGCGGATCATCACAGCTCAATCCATTAGAGGCAAAAATATTGTCAAAGTAATTCAATATAGTGGAATGCATATCATCCCCCTCCACCCAGTTACCAGCATCACATTTAATACTAGAAATAAAATTCTTTTTCCTACGTGCAGAGGCATAGTGTGATAGAATTTTGTGTTTGCGTCAGCCCCGCGTAGCCAGTGCTGCTTGGCTCGCTGCCTCCAGAACACATCCTCCTGGGCCTCTATTCGTTTCAGAGAATTCTCAATCTGCTGGTACTCAGCTAGCGCCACCCAATCTCGCCTATTCCGTATGGCATCTTGCCTCTGCTGTAGCTGGTTAATTCGTTTTCCGAATTTATGAAACTGGTCTCCCCCCCACCGCATTAACTTCTCCCCACACAACTGCTGACAATGCAGCAATCCCTCCGTTTTCCCCTCATGCCAGGCCGTTTCTACTACTTCTTTGCACCCCTCATCAAACAGCCAAGCCATCTCAAACCTGAATCTCCTTGGCATGCAAATCGCATTAATACTGAGGAAAAGGATCGAGTGATCCGAAGCCCGGGTTCGAATGTTCTCTAACCATGCATTCTCATTCATCAGACCCCAATCATTCGTTATTAGAGCCTTGTCCAACCTTTCCTCTATCCAATTCGGCGTCCCCTTTCCCTTTTGCCACGTATATTGGTGGCCTCTCATTGGTATTTGCATCAAACCACAGTCATCCACAGCATCTCCGAAACCCCGTAACAGACTATTAGGATACGGATTTCCCCCCTTCTTCTCAGCCTGATATAGAAGATTATTAAAGTCCCCTATCACCACCCAGGGCAACAAGGATCTATCCTTCAGAGTGCGAAGTAAATCCCATGTCTCCTCCCGCCTATTTCGTTCGGGGATACCATAGATACATGTCATGCGCCATAACCTATTAAACAAGCTTACTTCCACATCAATATGACTCTGCGAGTAGCTTAATAATCTTACCGTATTATTCTTCTTCCATAAAAACGCCATTCCTCCACTCAATCCATCGTTATCAACATAAAACAAACCCTCATACCCAAGCGTAACACGGATCCGTTCTGCATGTACCCGTGGCACCTTTGTCTCCATCAAAAACACAAAATCAGGCTTCTTACTGGACGCTAGGCCCTCAATCTGTCGAACTGTGCGTGGATTGCCCAAGCCACGACAGTTCCAGCTCAAAGTACTCATGATGATGGGCGGGGCTGGGCACCAGCTCCCACCATGGACAAGTTTTTTGAAACAGTAATGATTGTTACCTCATCATTTCCACTATCCTCTCCCCCCTCCGTCCCATGCCTACGACGCTTTGCCGTAGCCACCACCACCTCATCCTCAGACATACTCGTGAGTGTGACACCCCCACTTCCCTGTCCCCCATCCACTGACCCAACAACATGTGGCTTGACTCCCAGTGGTCGTGGTTTCCCGCCAACCGGCACAAACCAGCTATCCCCAACCGCTCTAGGAGCGCTCCGGGACCCACCAGCTCGCATATCCGGACCGTACAGGTACCTTTCGACCGGAATTCCAGCCTCCCTCGTGTGTATGCAGAAAGTATGCAAGTGCCCCATACAACCATAAAAGTAGCAAAACTTATGCAGCCGTTCATACCTGAAATTGACCCATACCGTAGTCCCATCTCTCTTCATCAACCTCATCCTCCTTCTAAGCGGCCTATCAACCGAAATTGACACCCGAATACGGTGAAAAGTTAACCATGGAGCCCCTTCAAATCTCTCATCATGCTTAACAAAAGAGCCCAAAAAATTCCCTGCCTGTTCCAGAATTGCATGAGACGTGTACCCCTTTGGCATGTCATGCAGCTGTACCCACATATCAATCATATCTAGCTCCACATCCACTGGATTCACCCCGTCTTTCACCTCCCGACACACAAGTGCATTATTTTCAAAAGCCCAGGGACCCCCATTGAGAACATAATCCATATCAGTTTTGTGGAAAAAAACAAACAAGAACAAACCCCTTTGGATCTCCGTTACCTGTACCCCACGCACCGGTTACCAGACTGATGCTAACACCTGCCTCATAAAATCCAGTTTTATCAACTTTTGCGTCAAAAATCGTCCGACAACCCTCCATGTCTCCTCCTCACCTTCTCCACCACCCTCTACACCGGTATCGTCTCCTTCCGGCATAAACACCGCACCCTCCTCCTCCAGCAGTGACCAATCCGCCCACCTATCCGTCAACTCCGCCACATCCACCCCCACCCTCGGCTGTCTTACAGCCCCCCCCCCCCCCCCCCCCCCTCCTCCCTCCCTCGCTGCCCCCTACTGCCAATACCCGTTCCATTCAAACCGCCCACACCCTCGCCCTCTAATCTGCCATCCATACTGCCCTCATCACCGCCCTCCCATCCACCATCCATATTGCCCAAATTATTTCCCCCCCTTCTGCCATCCAAATTACCCACAATCCCGCCCCCCCTTCTGCCAACCAAGCTTCCAACATCACCGCCCCCCCTTCTGCCAACCAAGCTTCCAACATCACCCCCCCCCCTTCTGCCAACCAAATCTCTAACATCACCGCCCCCCCTTTTGCCAACATCACCGCCCTCATGCATATGCCGCCCACCATCAGTACCCGTACCCCCTCCCTCCTGCTGCATATTCTCCGTAAACAAGCCCTCATTATGACAAACCTCCCTCCTTCGGCGCATCATAGGCCCGTCCGACAGCCTTTCACCGAATCGATCACCCTCAGCATTCGTCCTCTCCTCATTCCCGATCAATCCGTCATTCATAGCAACGTCTCCGGCCATTGTCCTGACAGAAAGAACCGATCTCCGTTGAAAACCTAGGAAACCCTAGTAGGAAACGCAAAAACCCTAGAACGAAACTAGAGAGAGAATTGCGTTATAAATTTTTTAATCAAATCGGTATCTAAATTATTCCTTCACACAATAAAATAATAGGCAGCTGTATGATTAGAATGTAAAAATTCTTTACATTCAAATTCATCAATTGATTATATTCACTATATTGTCTATTATTTTTTTGTACACTACTTTTTAATTAAATTATCAAAGTTATAATACAAAATAATGCTATATATTTATTTACCAAGTATTTTATTAATACCATGAAAAATTTTAAAAAAAATAATTAAAAAAGAAATCATATTAACTAATTGAGGGATTTGTTGACAAAGAGAGTATTCAAATCACACAGCAAATTGAAGTGAGAACTATCTCACAATGTCCTTGTTTGATAATTACCAGTTAGCGGTTAACGTTAGCAGATTATATTAGCGAATTTGACCAGTGAATTATATCATGCCTTAATATACTTTAAAGTACTTATTTAAAAAAAAAAAACATTGGGCATTATCCCAATCACGCAATGCGCATATAAAACTAGTAAGTATATATAAACGGGATTTGGTTTTAATGTTGAACCGTCAATTCATGGTTTCAGATCCAATTTGAACTGCTGGTTCAAACGTTCTTTTAAAATTTTATTTTTTATTTTTAAAATATTTTAAATTCAACAACTAATGTTTTTTATTTTTTTCAATTCAAAACATGAACTGGCAATTTCGGTTCGCGATTTTTATAAACTCTAAATATTGGGTTCTAGTTCTAAATTGTCATCATAACCTTTCTGTTTGGTTGCTATAGTGTCTGTTTGATTTGAACCAAATCTTGGTTATAATTTATTGGCAAAGAAAATAAATGAAATATTTATTTTAAAGGTAAATATGTCCATTTTCATATCAGGGAAAACTACCACTTAAATAAGTAAGGAAGAAAATGTGATATAAGGGCATCCCCAATAAGGGGATCTTCACCACATTTTAGAATAGTAAAATCCCATTGGGGTAGACTTTAACAAATGGGGTGGGGAGATTTTGAAGAAGTTTTGCTCCTGCAAAACCAAAGTTCTTGTTAGTAAAAAAAAATGCAGCTTTTTCAGAGTGGCCAGTGAGCCACTTAGAATTTTAATTTCATTGGCCGTTTATTATTATTATTATTATTATTATTATTATTATTATTATTATTATTATTATTATTATTATTATTTGTTATAAATATCACATCTTTTACAAATTTTAATACACTTCAATCTACTTCTGATTTATTTTTATATTTCTCTCAATTTATTTTTGTAATTTAATTTTTAAGTAATTATTTGTTTAATTTTCATATTTAGGTATGTTCATTCATTTATGTTTATTATAAATTTATAAATCAAATAAATAAAAAAATAATTAAAATATGTAAATAAAATGGTGAGTTCATAAAATGTCGTAAAAAATTTAAAATTAATAGGAAGAATCAATTTTGTGATTGAGTGAGATAATAGATAATAAAGTAGATTCACAAAAATTTAAGGTAAAATTTCCAACTATTAAAGATACCCTAAGCATATAACATAACATAGGAAAAAAAGTGCCTTTTTTTCCAAACAGCTACGGAGTATTATTTAGGAAAGTACGGAGTAATAAGTAGAGCGTTTGATGATTGATTGAAGTAGGGAGTCATTATATATATAGATTTATGATTTATCTGACCTAAAGGGAAATATTTAAATGTCAACCCGGAAATGGAGAGTGAAGTGATCTGTGATCATCATCCATTTATTTGAATGGTTTCTACTCTCCGTCATCGTCAACTGCAGCGACTCATCCACAGCAGCCACTTCAGGTCAGCGCTACACCTACATCGTCCTAAATCTCCTACGAAATCAGATAGATCATCGCACTTTTCTCCTTTAGTTCCTCCTCGGTACGTATATGTACACTTAGATCTGATTATCCTTGTCATCTGCCCCCCAAAATTGAAAATTTTGAGGTGGATATCTGATTCCCCTATGAACGGATAAATTGGTTATGATATTTTGTTAGCCGATCTGGTTTGGTTGGATTATCTTTTTTATTCTTGTAAAAATTAAAACAAATAAAAAAATGGACTTTACATTTTAACTTGCAAAGCGCTTTGAACCTTTATATTCTTTGATCTGAGCTCGGAGTTCAGTACCTCATTCCTTGGCTCTCTGTCTTTTCCAGCAAGGTAATCTTGATTCGGAAGAACAGTGGACGATGATAAAGTTGTCAACTTGCTGAGCTGTGATTGTTTCATGGGCAATACATGCCGTGGATTTTTAGGAGGCAAACACTTTCAGGGCTACGCCAAGCCCCAAGATCATTCCATCTCCAAGCGTAACCCTTCTTCAGGCCATTCTGACTCTTCTGCTAATTACACCTCCCCTACCAGCTTGACCTCTTCCCAGAACAAAGATCTTACTGGAGATACCCAACCCAATCCCAATCCCAAAGCAGATCAGCACCTCAGTGCCAAAAGGGACACCATCATGAATCGTTCCACCAACAACCAGGCTTACTATGTTCTAGGTCACAAGACCGCTAACATTCGCGATCTTTACACATTGGGACGTAAATTAGGCCAAGGTCAGTTTGGCACCACTTTTCTCTGCACCGAGATTTCCACTGGTATTGAGTATGCTTGTAAGTCTATTTCAAAGAGGAAGTTGATCTCCAAAGAAGATGTAGAGGATGTTAGGAGGGAAATTCAGATAATGCACCATTTGGCTGGTCACAAAAATATTGTTAGTATCAAGGGGGCTTATGAGGACCCTTTATATGTTCATATTGTTATGGAATTATGTAGTGGTGGTGAATTGTTTGATCGCATTATTCACCGTGGTCACTACAGTGAGAGAAAGGCTGCTGAATTGACTAAGATTATTGTGGGAGTTGTTGAGGCATGCCACTCACTTGGGGTTATGCATAGAGATCTCAAACCAGAAAATTTCTTATTGGTTAACAAGGATGATGATTTCTCACTCAAAGCAATTGATTTTGGACTCTCGGTTTTTTTCAACCCAGGTTATTTATTCTGATTCTTCTTTCCATCTTATTTCTTGTGTTTATGTTTCCACACTATATGCGTTATTATCTTTGAAAACTTCTTCTGTTTGACTGAAATCCCAATCTTAGATTGAATCGTCATAATGACTACAAGAATCATAGATCCTAATTGTGGAGTGGTGTCAGTGGTGTTCCTTAGATGATTTTCACATGACTGATCTGTTATCACTGCAAGCTTTCTCTTCTGTTGGTTTCAATCGAAGAAACAACACCTAAGTTTTAATTTGGTTTTAATGTCGTATTCTTCTTAATGTTTCAGGCCAAATTTTCACTGATGTTGTTGGAAGCCCATATTATGTTGCTCCTGAGGTGCTTATGAAGAATTACGGTCCAGAAGCAGATGTGTGGACAGCAGGGGTCATACTTTATATACTGTTAAGCGGTGTGCCGCCCTTTTGGGCTGGTATGTGTAATCATATTATGTAGTATAGGAATATTATTCTTTATTTTCCGTGTACTGTAACTTACTGCATATATTTTTCAGAAACACAGCAAGGGATATTCGATGCAGTTTTGAAAGGTGACATTGATTTTGAATCAGATCCTTGGCCCATAATTTCAGACAGTGCAAAGGATCTAATCCAGAAGATGTTGTGCATGCGGCCTTCTGAGCGCTTAACTGCTCATGAAGTATTATGTATGTTTCTCTCTAATTGACTACTACTCTATTTGTTAATTTAACATGAATGCATTTTTTAAAGAGCTGCATTAAGTCACTCCTATATATTTGTATATGCGTGAGCATTCTTTTTGAGATCTTATGAAAAAGAGAATCATATGTGATATACCTTAGTTGCATTAGGGCCATTGCATACTTTTTGATAGTCTATACTGAATTTCTGTGAGCTAGTGCTCAATGGTCCATCTATTGGGTCTGATTGAGTTGCATGGTGGACTGTGGTTGGTCAGTGATTGGTTGATAGCAGTTGTTGGTGAATCCTTTTCCCCACAATGACATAATGGTAGATGGAACACATTATCAACATTTCCTATTTGGACTTACCTAGCGGTTTTATTCAAGCTTGCTACTTTAATACAGAAGTTTCAAGGGAGGTTTGTAAGGTTTGAAGTGAAACTGTGAAGGAACTTACATTAATTGTCGATTTATGAAACTATAGGGAGTTAATTTCGCTTGCCCCAAAATGGATCAGATTTCAATATTATTATTAGTATTGTTGTTGTTATCATCATCATTATCATTTTTATTTTAAAATTAAATTTGTATACTCTCCATAGGCCACCCTTGGATTTGTAAGAATGGTGTTGCTCCTGATAGAGCATTGGATCCAGCTGTACTTTCTCGCCTTAAACAGTTTTCAGCTATGAACAAGTTGAAGAAGATGGCCTTACGGGTACGTATCAAAAGTTAGTACATGCAATTAGTTTTTTTCTTCCCCCGACTTGGAAGATTCTTCAATACAATCAAATATTTGAAATGATAACCTTGTTTGAGGGCAAGATATTATCAAATAATGCAAACACTGAAGTTTAGTTATGCACTTACGCGCTTGTTCTAGGTAATAGCAGAAAGCCTATCAGAAGAGGAGATTGCTGGTTTAAGGGAGATGTTTAAGGCCATGGATACTGATAATAGTGGTGCAATTACATTTGATGAACTCAAAGCTGGTTTAAGAAAATATGGGTCTACTTTAAAGGATACAGAAATACGAGAACTAATGGATGCGGTAAGGCAATTTTATGGTAACAGTATTTTTTAGAAATCTTTCGCATACATCTCTGGCAAGTTATAATCTGATCAATCCTCTGAGGACCTATACAGCCTGAAAAGGTAGTTTAGGTGGATATGCAGTGTGGCCAAACTCATGTCAACACAACAAAAAAAAAATTAAATAAATAAAACAGAAATTATTTTTTTTGGCATGCATGTCAGATACTCCATTCTTGGTGTTCTTGATACAATAGGATATGTGAATGTTTAAACCCTACATTTTGGTAAAATTAAACTCAACTGTAATCTTGAGTCTTCAAAGTTCACTCCTTCAGAATGTTGATTAAGTGCATTATGGCTAGGAACCTATGAACAACAGGGAAATAACAAAAAATAAATACATTATATAAATAAAGCTGACCTCCAGTTTTGTAAGTCTTAAGTGGTGGCATCTAGGTTCCTTTGTTGGAGGACAATCTATGCCCTGGCTTATAGGGGTGATGTTGAACTGTCATTTGCAGCTCATGAATGAAGGAGAAAAAACTGTTATTAGATTAGGAGTGAGGTCTTCCAGGGACCTTTATTGCTTTTGAATGCTAAGTCTTGTAAGAAAAATGATACTCAATGGTTTGGAATGGGGATTATATATACATACATATAGGTAAAGGATCAAATGGAAAACTGCGCCCAGATGTGAACATACGAACTTGTGCACTTACAACGATCATATTGTGCACAATAATTTATTGGTTATATTTTGCACATTTAGAGTTCTCTGTTGTGTACTTTTATAATTTCTAAAGTTTACTTTCGAGTTTTACTTTGTAGCTCTGTCTGATGCAATTCAGAGTTCACACATTTGTACCTAGGTGCGAGTTCGCACCTAATCCTGCCCCTATATAATATATATGGAGTATAATCTATTGTTGTCTGCCACTATTTTTTTAATGGCCCATGCATGTGCTTGTGCAACCTAGTGTAGGACTGAGAGCCATATCTGTGTAGGAATGTGAATTATTTAGTAAATGCATAGCTGTTTCAATTCATAAGTCATCTATTGTTGGCTTTTCTGACACAATAGATTTGTCATAGTTGAGGAAACTAATTACAACAATATCTGGGCACCAGTTCAATTGGTTCAGATCATAGACTCACAGATAAAAACATCACAAGCATTAATGCTTTAAGTATCCATGTATGATTCCATCACCATGGGGTCATGGCACTGTTGTTTAGAGACAGACCACTTTGATGCTTTTTGTGCTAAAGATTCCTTTAAGATCATTTGTCTCATAAATTGGCTGAAGTATTTCTAAAATTTGACAGGCTGATGTGGATAACAGTGGAACCATAGATTATGGAGAATTCGTAGCAGCGACAATTCACCTTAACAAATTAGAACGTGAAGAACATCTTGTTGCAGCATTTCAATACTTTGACAAGGATGGAAGTGGTTATATTACAGTTGATGAGCTCCAGCAAGCTTGTGTAGAACATAACATGACAGATGTTTTTTTTGAAGATATAATCAGAGAAGTGGATCAAGATAATGTAAGTTAAGTTGGAGTATTAACAATTTTTAAAGCTGTATATTCTTTGCACCTAATATATTAGGGAGTATTATATAATATGCATAACTGAAGTGACTATCACTGCTCTCTGATCCCCCTATTGGCGCAGGGGCATTAGTCACTTTCATTTAAATAATTTATTTTTTTTGAAAGGTTTCATTGAGTAAATTCTAAATGTGACAATTCTCTCTGCATGAATTATATCTACAAATGTTGTCTTGATTTCTGGACTAACAACTTACTCCCTTGTATCCGTTTCTTCTACACTAATTCTTAAATTGGCTTTTTGGTGGGTCTTGTTTCCCAGGATGGGCGGATTGATTATGGAGAGTTTGTTGCTATGATGACAAAAGGAAATGCGGGCATTGGAAGACGAACTATGCGAAACAGTTTGAATATCAGTATGAGAGATGCACCAGGAGCTCATTAGCTTTTGAAAAGACAGATCATCTATAGGTACTTTTGCAAAAAAAAAAGAAAAAAATCTTGAATTAATAATTGATCAAACTTTGTTTGCCACATATATGAAGAAGAAAATTAAGTGTGCCCTTTGGCTGAAAGATTAGATGACTTAAGCACAAGAGCAAGATTGAATTATGGTTTTTATTGGTGGGTGTTTTGTAGGGTGTACAGGATTGATGGCAGATGATGATGCAGCAGAGCTTTTGTTATGCGTGCATGCTTTCCCTTGAGTTGCCATATGGGTGTAGAAAATGTTGTAACCTTTGTACTTTGTAGACTCCATCCAGTGTATGAAAGAAATTGTTTCAGCTACTTTTAAGGTATTAAATTGGCACCTTCTGCAGCATTGAAGATATTGACCTATAAACTTTTAGTTTACTTGCTGTAATATGCTTTGCCCCACCTCCCCTTTATTCTTTTCTTTGTTCATCATACTAAATAAGTATTTCAGTCATACACCCACGCATTCATATTCATATTCATATATACATACAATCCAATCAACCAGTGATTTTGATGTTACATTCCATTCTAAAGTTTATGGTATGCAAGAAAGGAAAGCTGAAAGAAATGAATAAGCAAGCAAGCAAGGTTGTATGTGCATCCAAGCTAGGGCCACAGCATGAGATCTCTGTGCAACTTGTTTGGCATGTTACTGTGGTTGAGTTGCATGTTGATACGCTATTGCAACTTGCTGAAAATTTAATTATTAACCAAAACAAGTGAATATAATTATTAAGTAATTGTAGGTACTGTACTAGCAAGTAAATAACAAAGGAAGTAGAGTAGTTGCCTTCAAGTCCCCTGTTTTGGAGAAGATGCAGTTGGAGGTGATGAGGCTTCCTTTATCCAACAGCCATCCGGCTTCACAGCAAGTTTCCCCGCTAATCTCGGTGTCCTTTAAGCAGCACCAAAGTTGGTTTGGGAGCAATACCAGATTGGGTGCTTCGTCTCGAACTGTAACCATTGTTGAGCAGTGGTTGAGTTGTTGGGGGATAACATTCTGCGAGGAAGAGGAATTAATTGTAGTAATGTAAATTGTAATTGTAATTGTAATTGTAATGTTGCAGAGAGTAATAGAGATCATCATTTGATTTGACCTTCGGAGGAGGAGAAGGAGAGTTAAGGAAGGTGGCAGTGGCTATGGGGCCTTCCCAAACACCAATGATCTGGGAAGCGTCCAAAGGCGGAGTAGATGCAAATGCGGAGTCTCTAATGGCGCAGCCACCCAGCTGGTCCCCGTCACGGAATGGGCCGTACCACTGCTCGCGGAATACCTTAACAGTCTGCAATTCCAGCACCGGGGTTGGGGTTGGGGTTGGGGTTGGGTTAGAATCATCATCATCACCGCGTAAGCGTAATAAGCAGCGGAGGACTTGAATGATTCGAACTCTAGACTCCTTATCTCGAGGGTCAATCAAGCAATGCTCCAATTCCAGCTCCAATGTAGAAGCAGCCCAGGCAGCAACATAGCATCCGGTGGTAGGATGATATGCAAAAGCGGTACAAGAAGAAGGAGTAGTGATGGTCCTGTGGTCGACGCTGTACCTTGTGGCTGCGTCGGCTTCGCAGCCCACAGTAGGAAGCAGGCGAATCAACTTGTAGTCGAAAGAGAAATTGGAGTGATGAGCGAGCGTGGGGCACTGAGTCTGCCAATCAAACACCTTCACTTCCCACTCCCTGTAGGCTTCAGGGACAACACATTCGGGCAACTCCATTGGCTTCCCTTGCTCCGTGAAATCTGCTCCGAATCCATCCCACTCACCACTCACCTTATTTGCAAACTCTGCCCAACCTACTCACAAAGTGCAATGCAGTGCTGTAATAATAGAGTATGAAATCATATCATCATATCATTATTATACATACATACATACCGTTTGTGAGGGATGTGGGTGGCGTAGCCAAAAGGCCACCGCTGCTGCTGCTTTGGCTACATTGAATGGCAGACAATTTGGAGGTGGTGCTCAGCAATTGAAAACTGCCATTACTGCTCTTCTTTTTGAAATATTGCGGAGGAGCATGACTAGTATTATGCGGAATCAAGGAGTTGGGTAGCCTTGGAGAAGAAGGGGGAATACTAATATTAATATTAATATTACCAGTAGTATTCATATTTACTAGATAATAATAATAATAGCAAGCTGCATCAGCAGCTCATCTGCTTCAATTCTGGTGTGATTGGGAGAGAAAAAGCAGGATGGATGTTATTGGCGGCTGCGCTGGCAGCGAAAGCCATTGAAGATTAGCGGTGTTGCTGCGCTTTCCTCCATTCTCCTCTCAACTCTCATCCATCGATGTATGTATATTTTATGCCTACATCATAACAAATATTATGTGGCTGCCAATTTTCCATCTCATCTCCCCCCGCCCTAATCTCTTTTTAAAGTCTATAGAAGGTAGGAAAATTAATCACTTTAATTTTGGATGGGTTTAAACTCTAATTAAACTCATTTTATTGGTCTGCTATTCATTTTCAATTACACTTTTGGTCAAAGTATCTATCAAGTTCTTATACCAAAGGTAACTAGTATTTTCACTTGTGCGATGCAAAGGAATAAATTTGTTATAATATATTAAGAATATTTAAATTGATATATAATTATTTAAATTAGAACATAAAATATTATATACTGCAATTAAATATATGATTTGGATTGTTTATGTATTTTGATGTTATTATTGTTTGAATTTATGCAAATAATTGTTCAAATTAATAGCTAATGTCTAGATGTACGCATGCAGTGCTATAACTTTGAAGATTTTATTTATCATTGTTTAATATTTTCATAAATTAGACAAATGTGCTCGTTCTCTAACAACTCAGTTATAGGAATGAATTGCTATATCCTAATTCATTTTTATGGAAGATATATTTTTTGTCTAGATATATAACAATTTTTCTTTAAAAAAAAAACACAATATCACCGATTATATTTACACATTATTGAAACATCTTTGTAGACGACATTGGTAGTGGCAACACAATCTTGTCCATCCCCGTCTGGAGCTAACACCTTCAGTCCATTTAGGACGGGATACTCGGGTGAAAATATATAATGGTAGAATATCACTCAACTAGTGATCATTTTATATTTTCAGTCAATCAGTAATATGAGATTCATTTTCAGCCAATTATTCTTTTTTATTTTCAGTCAATTAGAATATCAAATGTAATGATATTTTTACTTAATTTTCGTTCCATTTTTAATTGATGATGTAGATATTATTATTGAAATATTTCCGTTCCATTTTTAATTTATATTTACTATTGTTTAAAATATGCATTTACTATTGATGATGTAGAATATTATTATTGAAATATTTTCATCCAATTTTTAATTTTTGTTCCATTTTTAATTAAAATGCAATGATCTGACACTTTCTTTTTTATTTTATTTTATTTTAGTCAATTATGGATCATTTTTTATTTGTAGGCAATTATTAATATTCATTTCCTTTTATATTTTTAGTCAATTAGTAATATTAGATTCATTTTTAGTCAATTATTCTTTTTTATTTTCAGACAGTTAGTCAATTAGAATATAGATGCAGTAATATTTTTACCTAATTTCCATTCCTTTTTATTTGATGATGTAGAATATTATTATTGAAATATTTCCGTTTCATTTTTAATTTTCGTTCCATTTTTAATTTACCTTTACTATTTTTTAAAATATGCATTTACTATTGATGATGTAGAATATTATTAGTGAAATATTTCTTTTCAATTTTTAATTTTCCTTTACTTGATGATGTAGAACATTATTATTGAAATATTTTCGTTCCATTTTTAATTTATGTTTCATTGTTTGAAATTGTGAAAGATTTATGATATAATTGTGATTTGATTTATTCTACTGTGTAATATTATTGTGAAAAATTAAAATGAAATAATTTGACAATTTTCTTTTTCATTTTAGTCAATTATGGATCATTTTTGTTTCAGTCAATTATTAATATTCATTTTCTTTTCCAATTAACCTAATTTCCATTCATTTTTCCATTTTTAATTTTCAGTCAATTATTAATATTCATTTTGTTGGTTTTATGACTTTTGGGCAGTCAACGCCAGGCCAACACTACCGTTAGAGTAACGAGAATATAGGAAAAATATAGGAGAAATATATGGCGAAAATATAGGAATGTTGTATTGAAGAGTATTGCTCGTGGATTGCTGAGAGTTGTCCCCTCTCTTCTATATGAAGGGTCTATTTATACATATTTTGGGCCTAGAGCCCTACAAGGAATAAGATTCTAGACTGCCTCATATTGGGAGTCTTAGTTACATAATTAGACCTAATTCTGTTACATTAGAACTACTGAGTCCAATTCAAATTATACTGGGAATAATAAGCCCAATCCTAGACAAATTCTTGGGTTGTTCCATGTCGTGTATCTTTCTTGTACTTTCTTGATCTAGTTGCTTTATTGGGCCGGTTCGTGTGGCCCAAGCTAAGTATGCTATCCATCACATTTCATTTTCCAATTTACATAATTCTCGTTCCATTTTTAATTGATGATGTAGAATATTATTGTGACATATTTCTATTCCTTTTTTAGTTTACATTCCTTTTTTTTAATTTACCTTTACTATTTACTATTGTTTTGGTAGGAAATCAAGTAAATAAGATTTTGTTTTTAATTATAGTATAGATATAGATTATTTATTTATTTTTTATTATTATTATTATTATTATTATTATTATTATTATTATTATTATTATTATTATTATTGTTGTTGTTATTATTAAGTTAATTCCATTTCCTTTTTCATTTTTCATTTTTCATTTTCTAAAGTGAAAAAGCATGCCAATTAAGGGGCTATTTGCATTTCTACACGCAAGGAGGAGGAAACACGTAGCGCTGTGGGGAGCGTTAAGCATACACGAAGTGACCATCGGACCATTAGCAGCGACGTTCAGCGAAAGTTTTGTCAAACAAACCAGGCTCCAAATGCCATAAGTCGTAGGTAAGCTCTCTCAGCATCTTCCCAAGCCATTTCTCTTACTCTTTCAAGTTGCTGTTAACAAAACCATTCTCAAAACCATACCTTCTTGTATATCACACACCATCTCAAGCCATAGCATTAGCTTCAAGATACGACGACAGCGAAGGGTTCCGGTGTGTTTCATCTCCTCTACCCAGTTGCTCTTAATAAAAGCATTCACAAAACCATACCTTCTTGTATCTCACAAACTATCTCAAACAATAGCATTAGCTTCAAGATACGGCGACAACGAAGGATTTCGGTGTGTTTCATCTCCTCCACATTTTTCGGTGCGTCTCGTCTCCTCCGAGATACGTAGCAATGCCAGTCGGTCGTTGCGACTGGCCGTAACACCGCCGGTCGGTCGCTGCGACTGACCACGCTTTGTTTCTAGCTGGCCAAACTGGCCAGCCGTAACAACGCTGGTCGGTCGCTGCGACCGACCAGGCTTGGTTTACGGCTGGCCATTTTTGGCCAGCTGTAACAGCGTTCTCCCTTTCTTTTTTTTTTTGCTAAAATACATTCTGGGAAATGTCTCTCTTTCTCTTTCTCTTTCTTTTTCTTTATATATATATATATATATATATATATATATATATATATATATATATATATATATATATATATATATATATATATATATATATATATATATATAGAGAGAGAGAGAGAGAGGATCATATGAGGTCATGTTCCCACATGAGGTCTAAGGTCAAAATCTGGCCTTTGATTTTGCGGTGATCTATGGTTGTTGTTGATTTGGGTTTTTATTTTGTCCTTTTTTTTTTCTTTTTCCGCGTGAGTGTGTAAGGACCTTTTTGTCTTTGTATTTTTCTTTCCTATTTATTTGGTGTATTTGTCGGCTGAGTTTCTCATTTGTAGGAGTGTTATACATGGTAAATAAAGATTTTGAGCGTTTATATTCTAATGTAGCAATCCACTTTATACAGTTTGTAGTTCTTGTGATTTTTCCTTTCATCGTTTCATTGTTTTTCAATTTTTTCGTCTTTCTCTGCGTGAAGGCTTATGGATTCTCCAGGTTAGTTTTTCCGTTTGTTTCTTGTATATTTTTTTTGAGCATCGGTTAGTGGTTGGTTTGTGTGTAAGTATGTGTCTATTTGTATGACATGCGTTCTAGGTGCTGTGGTTTGATGTTGGTTATGGAGTTTTAATTTTTATATATAAGTCTGGGGTGTTGGATTATTGATTGGGTAGTTGGTTTGGTTTTATATCGTAGTTGTATTTGTTATTTTCGTTTTTAATAACTGCAATTGGCATATGTTTTTCGTTTTAATTTGTTTTGGTAATTTATGCATCTCGGTATTTGTTTGACATTATGGCTTATGTGTGCTGGGTTTGTGTTCGATGGTAGGATGTTGCCGTGGTAGTTTGTGCATTTCGGTGTACATGGTTGTTGCATTTTATATTGGGTTGAAGGTTTTTGTGCTGTGGGTCGTGCGTGGTAACGTCATAAAGTGCATGTGTTTGGTATTCGGTGTGTGCGTGTTTTCGTTTTTTAATAAGTGCCATTGGCATATGTGTTTCGTTATAGATTGTTCTGCTAATTTATGGATTTCGGTGGTGGGATGACAACATTGCTTGTGTGTGCCGGGATTTGGTTCGCTGTTAGGATATTATGTTGTTAGTTTTGTGCATTCCGGTGTACATGACATTTGCATTTTATATTGGTTTTGAAGGGTTTTGGTTTGTAGGGGGTAGGGGTTTTCTTCGTAAAGTGCATTTTGTGTTATTTGATATGTGCAAGCAGCTTGTTTTTTTTTTTTTTTTTTTTTGGAATGATATGCATGTCGTTTTATTTTGACCGGTTTTGTGTTTGTGTGTATATTTCTGTTTGATGTGTGTGCAGCACGGTCGGAATCGCAGCAAGGGTGTGTTATGGACGTGTCCCCCGATGGGACTAAGTTTTGGACGCCTTTGTGTGATGCGGCGGTTAGGCCTTTTGAGGGGCAGACTTTTCCTTCTCTCGCTCATGGTATTGATTTTTATCGTCAGTATGCGTCGCTCGTTGGTTTTGATGTACGTTGTAGTTCGTTGCGTAGGAATAGGGAGGGTGTTGCTGTGAAAGACGTGTTGGTTTGTTCGCGTGAGGGGTTCAAGCAGGCGGTGCAGGGCTCTGTTGTTGTGGATGCTGCGTTGGATCAAGCACCTGTGGCTCCGAAGCGCCGGCGTGTTTCAAATAGGGTGGGGTGCAGAGCGAGGTTGGTGTTGAAGATGCGTGACGATGGGGTTTTTGTGGTTCATTTCATTGAGCTACGGCATAATCATTGTTTCTGCTCGGATGTGGCTAAGCCTTTCTTGCGGGGTAATCGTTCCATGGATGTGCAACATCAGATTTTTGTGCTTAAGTGTGCTAGGGCCAACGTTGGGCCCAATAGGTCGTTTCGTTTGGCTAGGGAGTTTGCTGGGTCGTATTCAAATGTTGGTGCGACATGTGTCGATTTTAAAAATTTGAAGCGTGATTTAATGGCATTTATTGGAACTTCAGATGCTCATATTGTTGTGAAAAAATATGCTAAGAAGGTAGATGATTGCCCGGATTATGTCTTTAGATATGATGTAGATTCTCAGGATCAGTTATGTAGGGCTTTTTGGACTGACCCTATTGCGAAGGAAAATTTTTCAGCTTTTGGAGAGGTGGTGTCGTTTGATGTAACTTATGGGACTAATAGGTAAGCCACGTGTTCTTAAAAAAAAACTTTCTTGTAGTTGTATTTTTATTTATTTATTTTTTTTATTACTGGTATGTGCAGTTTATTATTATGTATTTGTGCAAGCAGTATGCTAAAAACCATGGGGTTTATTTTTCGTTGGTTTGGTGTTATGTCTTGCAGGTATGGTATGGTATTGGTCCCGTTTACTGGTGTTGATAATCACAAGAGAGGTGTCACATTTGCAATGGGGTTGATTTCCCGTGAAGATGTGGACTCTTACGTGTGGCTTCTCCAGCAATTTAAAAGTGCAATGGGTTGTGTGCCTAGTTGCACTATCACTGATCAAGATCCTTCGATGCGGGTTGCAGTCCCTCAGGTGTTTGATACTACGCGGCACAGGTTTTGTATGTGGCATATTATGTCAAAGGTTGGCGAGAAGGTTGGTAATGTTCTATCTAAAGATGAGGAGTTTCGGCGCGCGTTGAATGATGTTGTTTGGTGTGAGACGTCGTCCGTGGAGGAGTTTGAGCGGGGTTGGCAGGACGTTATGGAAAAGTATAGCCTTGGTGACCACCGATGGTTTCGTCTTATGTATGATCTGAGATCGTATTGGATCCATGCGTATTTTAATGATATTTTCATGGGTGGATTGCTTCGCACGACATCGAGGTCCGAAGCTGCGAATAGTGTGTTTGGTAGTTGCACAAACCAGCATGCTAGTTTGTCTGAGTTGTTCAACAATTTTGAAGGGGCTATTGATGCTCAACGTTTGGCGCAGGCCAAACTAAATGCCGAGTGTGAGGGCCATTTTCCTTTGTGCCAGACTCCGATGTTGATTGAGAAGCATGCGGCTGCGGTGTACACTATTAATGTTTTTTATGATGTGCAAGCTGAGGTTATCGCGGGATCTTTTTCGTGTCGTGCTGTGCGTTCAAATGTTGAAGGGCTGGTAACCCGGTATGAGGTTGAAGATGATGATGGCCTGGTGCGCACCGTGAGTTTTGACTCTGGTAATGATGGTGTTGAGTGCACGTGTAACATGTTTTCACGGGTTGGGTTACTTTGTCGTCATATTTTCTGGGTTTTCAAGGATCGTAGGGTTGTTTCTATCCCTTCTCGGTATGTGATCGCACGTTGGACAAGGGGGGCTTGTGTGCGACAGGTGTTGGGTGTTCAACGTGGGGGCGATTCGGAGGTAGATGTCGCAATTGGTGAAGCTTGGGCAGAATTTTTTTCGTGCGTGACCATGGCTTCACGGAGTGTTGATCATGTTACCAAGTTGAATGCAGCCCTAAAAGATTTCAATGCTTTTTTATTGGCTGAGAATGGTCCTACCGTTCGTGCTTCTTCTTCTAAGAAGCAACTTTTTGAATCGTTTTGCGGTGCTTCGCCAGATGGTCAAGTTAATGTTCGTCCTCCTCCAATCTCTAATAACAAGGGTGGTGGCAAACGTTACAAAAGTACAAGGGAATTAGCTATTGAAAAGTCGGGGCGTCGACAACGCCAATGTCAAACTTGTGAAAAGTATGGGCATAATAGTCGTACCTGCCCGATGCGCAAAGTTGACGTATGACGAAGGGGGTCGTATTGCTCTTTGGTTTAAATTTGAATTTAAACATGTTGCTTTGTTTTTTACTTCGTCAATGACTTGTGTTTATTTCGCATTTGATGTTGGTTTTCAATAATGGATTTGGTGTGGTTTTGTTTATTGGATTTGTGTTTCTATTCTGTTTATTAATTTTATATTTCCCGTTTTTTAGATAGGATGGTCGTGGTACTCTTTTATTCCGTTTTCATTTATTCAGTAACCACTTCCATCTTGCACAGTATAGTATTTTCTGGATGCACAAAGTAACTGGAATTTTGTGCATGTTTGCACATATCTTTCCTTCGAGGTTGCACAACAATTTATTTGCCTTTGTAATTCGGTTTCGCGTCTTGTCTTGCACCCCCCTTTGATGTACCCTATTATTTCAACTCGGGGGTGTCATGCGGACATGCATGTTATTAACACTACAATGTTAAGTTGACTTCTTACCGGCGCTAAGACGTCCCCCTACTGGGATGTATGTTGTGTTTCTGTGTGGGTGTACATCATATTAACGTGTCAAAATCTATTTAGTGGACTACGGGTTATTTGTTTTTGACATACGGTGGTATTATTTCATTCTTTTTCCCCACATTATGATGCCACATCCCACTTGCACAGTTCCGGTCATTGTGGTTGCACACGGTCACTGGAATTTTATGCACGGTTGCACGTATGCTCCCATCAATGTTGCACAGTATTTCATCTGCACTATACCCGTTTGTGTTTTATTTTGATTCCCCGATTTGTTAACTTCACCCTATCGCACAGTCTAGGGTAGGGACTTTGGCATTAAATCTGGGTTTGTGCTCTGTCTTGCACGTTCGGTTCCTTCGCTTTAACCGATCATTGTGACTAAGGGTGGTCATGCCAACATGCATTTCAATACAACTTTAAACTTAAGTTGGTTTATTACACTTGTGCCTATCACCCCTACCGTTGTTCATTTTCTTTTTCTATGTGGGTGCACACTACCTTCACGTGTCTTAATGTTTTTAGCGGTCTACGGGTTATTTTTTGTTGCCATTTTGCAGTGCATTACTTTAGTAACCGCCGATGCACACACCCGTTCATCCGGATATAACGTAATTGCGCAAAGGTGTAATCCACTGAAGCACGAATTAATAAGTGTGCATTTACAGCGGAATAACTTTTTAAATAAAAACCATGCATCTACATTTCGCGCAACTTTACCCAAAAAAAGTTGTCCCTTGCCAAAAAATTATTACAAGTGTTAAACCTTTCATTGGTGTCCTTAGTCATGGGTTTTAAAGTCGTCAAAAAAAATGCACAATCACACATTTTACTTGCTTAGCGGAATTGCGTGAACACTCCCTTGCCGTACAGTGGTGAGCTTTGGAGGCTTTTGTTGTGTTGCTCATTGCATTCGCTGAGCAGGATTTTCTTCATGTACTTCGCTCGGTATTCTTCTATTGCGGCTTTGTGTCCCTTGGTCAGCCCACATTCCCAACTCTTCGCTTTCTGCCCAATGAAGGATTCCATGTGCCTCATTGTATATACTCCACTGTCTGGGTTTTCTGTTGCATCCCTCCAAGGCATTTGCATTCTCTTTGGTTCCATTTCCAGTATTTCAGCCGCCCTTTTATGGTCCTTGTTATCGTCTAGGAAGCACCCGAGCATGTCCTTCTGGTTTCATACATAGACACGGTTAGTAACTTTTATCATATCACCGGTTAGCAACACATTTATATCTATATTGCACCTAAAGAGCAGTAACAGATGCACAGTTCCTATGAATAGAAGTTCTTGCCTCGTAACAGTTGCACAGTTCCTATGATTACAGCAGTAACAGATGCACATTTATATCTATATTCAACACGCATATGATTAGAAGTTCTTACCAAAATATCCGGGATTTTACCATACACTTCCTCTTTTTTCCCAGCAGAAGAGTTGTCAATGATTTGCATTGTCCTTCCCTTTAGATCGGCGGCGATGACATAGTAGTGAGAATTGTTACATATTGGGAATATGAACTGCATTGCGCATTGAATTCGATTTGGTTAGCAAGAACATTTTTAAAACATGAACACATACATTTGTTACTTCTTAGACTCTTAAGTCGTATGTTAACTTACCATGTCAATCTCTGTCCACTTCTTGTATGGGCTGAAAGTCATCTCGCTTTTCATTTTCCTTTTAAATAGTTTGAGCTGTTGTGCTCGTGTCCCTGTCCATCCCACCACTGTTTCCATCTGTGCATGCATACATAGTCATATTTAGTCAAATACAGTATTCATATTATTGGAGTATTTCAAGTATTCCTTTTTTTTTTTTAAATAAAATAGAATTTGCATACCGTTAGTTTGGTTGATGCAAAGAATCGTGCCGGATCAAGGATTTGTTTTGCCCGTTCTTTGTCATTTAGTACGCATGCCCAGCTGTCTATAACTGTCGTGTTCACTTCTTTGCCCATGTCTAGTGTCAGCATGTCAGATCTTAATGCTCGTTGGTTGTTGAAGTGGAAGAGTTCCTCGTCCCTGCGTGGTTGCAAATCAGGTGATGTGTAATATTATTTTACATTAGGTGCTGAATTATAATGTGATCTTTCTTACTTGTCAGCATTTGCATTCTCGATTATCCACTTCTTCATCTCACTTGGGGTGGGGGAGTACCATTTTGTGAGCTCTCTTCGTGCTATGCGATCATGCTCTGACGGTGTGCCTGGGTTTTGTGGTAAGTTGGTCGTCTTGCCTTCATTACGTTGCACTTTCATTGGTGCCCTTTCTATGGTCCCTCCTTGGTCTCCTTTGTCCTTTCCATTCGGGTTAATCAGTTGCTGCAAAATGTGTGTTTTAAAATTAATCTAGCTCCCGTGTTTTTGGTCATTATTTGCCCACTGTGTGATTAAACTTTTCGAGACTAGTTTCTTTATTTTCACAAATGTAGCTAACTTTTAGACGTCTAATAGCCATACCATGTACATCCGTCTTATATGGTAACATTGCAGTTCAGTTTACCACATTGCTGCACAATCAGTCCCCAAACACTTCACATTCTAACTACCCAAACATTTCACAGATGCACAATTGACAACTTTTTAGTTCAAACTCATTTTCAAATATTTCACACATCCACTTCCCAAACCTTTACCTATTTTTAAATCACGCAACATTGGCATTTTGTTTCCCAATATCATGCACATTATTTTAGTTTAAATTATTTTCCATAACGAAGCTTATATCGATTTAGCACGCGACATACCTCCGGAGGTGTGACGAATGAGTCTTCTGGTTGGTTTGGCGTGGGGTGCTTATCATTGTCGTGTATTGATGCGTTCCTGGTTTCTCTTCCTTCATCTTCCGTCTGCATCGCTTCCTCGCACTGCGTTTTCGAACATTAAAATCACACTGCCAATCTGATATTGTTCAAAATAATATATTTGTGGTGCATTTTACATTTGTCCTATTTATGAACATTCCTTTTTTAACTTACAGCATCATCTTCAATCACGGGGTCCTGATTTGGTTCACTCACCACCGGTACAGTGTGCATCTCCTAGGTTAAGCCTAGACTGAATGATGGCATTTCATATGCTGCCTCGGTGTCTCCCATATGCATGTTTACCTCATTTTGTACTTCTGTCTCCGTGTCGCCTAAATCAGCTTCGCCACCCTCCTCACCGTTACTTTTTGATGCACTGCTCACTGGCTCTTCGGCACCTTGTGTTTCGGGGTGTGCTTGTTTGTTCTTGCATTTTTCTCTCGCTGCCACATATCGTTGTCCTACTCTTAATAGCAACTTTCCCGCATCCACTAACTTCTCGAACGTTGTATGACTCAGTGTGCACTTTCCAGCTTCATCCGCAAGTTTAGTGAGTTCTTGCACTTTAGTTATAACCTGGTTTGCATCATCTACAAACCGTACCTCCATGGCCTGCCATTTCGTGGTCCAGATTGTAAGTGCTAACACAATCAACTAGCTGGTTTTTAACCAATTATAGCACCTTATTAAATTAACCGTATAAGTTTTTACCTTTACTGCATCTTCGGCTTCATTTTCTTGGTTTTCGACTCTGTTGTGATCGTTCAATTGCTCGTATTCTTCTCCGTTTGTCTCAAACACTCCTAAACCAAACCCCCCCTTCTTAATCTCCGCAAACTCACGCTCGTTTAACAGTTTTGCAGTCCACCCTATGAATGATGATCTGTTTCGCTCTACATATCGGCATGGGCTCACAACTTTGTCCACGTACAACATCTGCATTTTCATTTCTCATGACAACATTCGTTATTATCATAATCATATACTCAATACACAGATTACTATTCAACCTCACGCCAAAACTAAAATTAATTACACACAGAATGCTAAGCTTACCGTTATGAATAGCAATGGTCCAGTAAATTTTTTGTGCTGCTTTGTCACCCATTTGTTGTGGCATTCAACTAGCTCGTCTATCAGATACTTGCACCAATTCAGTTCCCTTATCTTGCTCACATCTTTGAGCTCGTGTATTATTGATTGATTTGCATACCCATTTTGTTGGATGCAGATTAGGATGCTTGCCACTAGGACTGTGAAGTGCCTCTTGAACCAAATTCCACCATCTTTTTTCTCTTTTAACAACAACCCTATCATGTAAGGGGTTATTGTGTGGTCCCCCTTTTCGTATTCTGCTCTCCATGCATCGAGCTCGGCACATTTCGCATTTCGGCCCCTCTTTTTAATCTCCCGGGGTCCTTGTGGAAATCCAAGAACTGCCTCCACATCCTCTTCTGTTATCTTTAGCAACCGGCCATTTCCTAAATTTAACGTCTTTGAACTCCCGTCAAAGTTCTTCATCAACCAATGCCCCATTCGCAGAGGCGTGTCTTCGACCTTCAGATTCAACAAATCTCCAAAGCCTAGTGCCCTAACTACAGTCCTTTGCAGCGATCCAAATTTTTTCATCGGTTCAACGAGGTGTTTTGCCATAGCCCGGGTCTCGAATTTTGGAAATCGTGCCTCCTCTTCCGGTAGTA